GACAGAGTCTCATTTTGCTTAGGCTGGTTTCCAACTCCTGAGCTCAAGGGATCCTATTGCTTCTGCCTCCCAGAGTGCCCATCCAGGACAAAATACTTACAAAATCTCATAATCCTAGCATACTAATACATTTTTATTTTTTTATTCAGGCTTTGCTTGTATACTTTTAGAGGTAAGATACATAAGTTTATTTTCTATTCCTTTGTACTTAAGTCATATGTGCTACTATATTTCTAGACTTATTCTAAGCATTTTTTAAGATTTTAGAAAACCTCTGTAAGTTGACCATCCAAGGCACTGTAATAAAATGGTCAACATAAGGAACTAGGCCTACAGTATTGATACTTACATGTGGTGCATGTCTGGTGTATGAAAATTAGGTCAACTTAAGGAGGTGGTCAATGTAGGAAGGTTGTCAACTATAGAGGTTCTACTGTATATATAATATAAAATTTACCATTTTAAGGTATATAGTTCTATGGCATTAAGTTCATTCATATTGTTGTGAAAGCATTATCACATCCCTCTCTAGAACTTTTTCATCTTCCCAACCGATGTCTTGCACCCATTAATAACAACTCCTGATTCTCACCTCCCCCAGTCTTTGGCATCCACCACTGTACTTTCTGTCTCTAAGTTTGTCTACTATAGGCATCTAAGTGAAATCATACAGTATTTGTCCCTTTGTGACTGGCCTATTTCACTTAGCATAACATCTTCAAAGTTTGTCCATGCTGTAGCATGCATAAGAATTCCCTTTCTAAGGTTGAATAATATTCTACAATATGTCTAGATCATATTTTGTTTATCCATTCATCAATGCAAACTTTGGGTTGCTGCCGTCTTTCAGCTATTGTGAATAATGCTGGGTTTTTAAGTCCCTGTTTTGAGTTTTTTTAGGTATATCCAGAAGTGAAATTGCTGGGTCACATGAGAATTCTATGTTTAATTTTTTTGAGGAACTGCCATATTGTTCCCCATAATTGTGGAGAGCTGGCTGTGAGGTGGCAGGGCCCCCACAGCCCAGGGAACATTCAGGGAATGAATCCCCAACTGCTTCTCCTCCCTTCCCCAAACAACAATATTCCTGCCTTCATGCTCCCTCTGCCAGAAGTCACGTAGCTCTTCCTTTGTCTAATTTTTTTTTTTTTT